CCACTGACTCAGCCAGTTGCCTACGCACTGCGCTAAGTTCGCCTTGTAAATTATCGTTGCTTCTTCCACACTTTTTTCATTTGTTAAGCCAACACAATCAAGTGCAGCTATTTCGCTGCAATTCACACTTGGACATGTGGTTGTTGGTTTTGTTGGTTTTTGTTAATAATTCTATTTTTAGAATGTGTAACTTTTAGGTGTGCTCGTCCGTAAGTTATTTGTTTTTACGTCTGATTCTTAATTTGTGATAAATCGCAGTCTCCATAAAATTTGTATTTTAAATTACAGGTAAATAACTAGGAATTTTCTTGCACGGTAAAAAAAAAAATTTATGAAGTGGTCCAAAGCTACTAAAAAATCGATTCAAGAATTTTTTTGAAATTATTTGCCGAAAATTTTAAATTTTCTAAATCATTGTTCAAAGATATAAAATATTAAAAACACTCACAGCCCACATTTTCATCATCTATAACATAAAAAATATATAAATAAATAAATACATTCTAAATACCACTTGTATATCATAATATTATTGGCGTATACTGAACCTCATATTCATAACAAATATATGAGGGGCAAAATTCATCAAGTGTACCAGGAAAAACATTTTATGGCAGCACTTTGTTCAAACTCCACCACGTTGTTGCTATGGCTACTGGTAATCAACATGTAAAAGAATTTTTTCTACCGTGGTTTTTTGTCGAGTTATACGAGTTCGAACATGCAAATTTCAGCCCTTCTTCTTAGAGTCACAAGTTTTCTTAAAACTGTTATCTCATGTCACACTTATGATAGAGAATCAAAAATTGCTGACCTATTAGAACCTTTTTAGTGCTTTTTAGTGGAAACTATAATTTTTTGCAAATAATTTTTTTGTTTGCCAAAAATTTGCAATAAAAAAATTGTATTGCATTTTTTAAGCCATGCACCATTTTTTCGCAAGTGGTTGTTTCTAAGCTTTTCAATAATATAAAATTTGTATTGGGCGTGGCAAAAGTATTACAAGTTTTTCATCATTGAACGCACTCGGATACGCCTTCCATTTTTGGCGTCAATGCCACAAGTTTACAAAAATGAAAAAATTTTCCGACCAGCGACATTTTTATATTCATACTAAAGTAAAATTTTCTGCTGAATCCGAATACGAAATTAAAATGTAAGATAGTAGAACAGTTTTTCAGATAGTGAGAAAGTGCACTCAATTAATTGCAATTTTCTTTGGATGTAGTTGGCAAATCTTAAATTTCTTTTTGCATTAATAAAGGCTATTAATTTTTCTATCATATGCGTCAAGAAGATTATCCAACTTGATAAGCAATTGAGGACAAACGATGAGATGATTTGAATCCATAGGCCTTGGCGCAGCGATTCATAGGAGGGACACCTGCCAACTAAGGCGAATCATATCGCCGATATTTCTACTTTTTCTTGGCGTAAAGACAATTGAGGCCTTTTTTCTCACGTCCTTCACAGACCACCTTTTCAAATTATGCAGCCGATATATAGTATGTATATAATTAACTTTAAGATACTTCAAATTGTCTTGCGGTTTCTACGATGCACTGAAATGTAATTTTAACTTATGCAATACATATAACATTATAACAGTTTGACTAGTTATGATATAACACCTTTAGAATCCCCCTTACTTTCAAAGTTTGCTTGCCTTCAAAAGTTTAGTAGGAACTCTATCTGTTACTCCAGGCAGGATTTGTTTTGCAGATATTTAACGCATACACTCCGGAAGCCTGATTTATTTAGTTTTTAATAAAAAAAGACACACACATATACACAGCAGGTTTCCTTAACAAGTAATTTTTAGGCAAAAAACAAAACCGACTTCGATTCTCATATAAAAATTTAGGAGTACCGTTAATTTGTTCATGATCCAATGAACGAATCTAAACCAGATTTGTATGGGACCACCTCTGAGACACTGCCTTTCCGATGCAAAAAGAATCATCGAAATCGGTTGACGTGGTCCACTGATAACCTACTCCTTTTTTCGAAGTCGGTTAAAAACGGCAAGCTCAATAAAATTGTTGAATATAATTGTTATAAGCAGTGTGACCGTTTTGATCCAAGTGGATCAAAAGTGATACATTTTTCGATGAATTTTGGAGAGATACTTTTTTTTTCAATTTCGATACTTTTCCAAATACAAAAGAAAAAAATCTGTAAATTTGTATGCATTACAAAACATGTCGTGCATGTGTTCATTTGTCGTTCACTGAACTAACCGTTCATGTATTGTGATTCATGGTCCATGACGAAAAACGTCAAAAAGGGAATAAACAAACAGTATCATAGCGTTGCATTTTTTTTATTTTCGCTATGTTCGATAATAAAAATTAGGGCTTGGTAACTCCCTTGGTAGAGCCCTGTTTCCACAGGAAAACACCAATGTCGTGATAACCATGGGCTGCAATATATGCCAACGCTTATTGCTTGACATCTATTGCAGGCAATTTGATAGTTTGACAGCCATATTTTTACTTAGAAGAAAGCGTGCTGGTGGTAACATCGATGAAATATTAATATTAAATCAAAATAAGAATCTGTTCCCTATTGGACTATTTATGATAAGTTTTAGGAAGTCATTCAGCAAGCTTTTTATGATTTAAATATTTTTAAACACCGAAATTGAGACGCCTGTACATATGAAGATATCAAAATGCTCACACACAAAAACTTGCAATCATACTGCTCGTCAAAATGAAAGTTGGTAAGCCATCGGTTTTTGCATGTGGAGTTTTGCGGTAAATTTTCTCCCATGTATTTTGTTTGTGTAAAATTATTTTAGTATCGGTTTACCGGTTACCGAATTATCGTGGTGGAAGCTTGATAACTTTTCTGGTAGTTGGTAAACTGCAATCAGCTGTGCGATATTCATCCAATTTTGAATCCGCCCGCTGCCGAAAGGCATAACGCATTTGAGTAAATAAAATTTCTTGAATTTTTTGTTACAATTTATTTTTTGTATAGAAAAAAAGCTACGAATCAGCTGTTGATAGGCATAGTTTACCAGACTAAAGGTGTGGTTAAACGTGGCAATGCTAGGTCTTTTGCTACGCATTTTTCTGTCAAAATGCAAAATCGAAAGTCTACTTTCCCGTGTAAACGTCAGAAAGTCCTTTTTGCAGATTTGCAGAAATCACTTTCGGCAATAAAAATTGCAAGGTGTAACTCCAACTGAAATTACGCATATCGCTTTCGGGGAATAAATTTAATGCAATAAATGTTAAATTGTTTTGCAAAATGGTTTTTCATAAAAATTATTGGTTTTATTCCATATTGATGCTTTGATACTTAGATGAAAAAAAGTGATACATATTGATACGTTTTAAGTCTCTTTTCTGCTACAATTTTTTACAAGCCCGCGGTCACACTGGTCATAAGGCCTTAAAAAACAAAAATTTAAAGACGAACACATCTGAAAGTTGAACATTCTAAAAATAAAATGATTAACAAAAACCAACATAACCAATAACCACATGATAAAGTGTAAATAGCAGCGGAATAACTGTGCTTGATTGTATTTGGCTCACATGAAAAAAGTGGAAAAAGGATCAACAGTGTATAAGGCAAACTTAGCGCAGTTTGTAGGCTACTGGGTGAGTCAGCTGGGGTCGTTGCATCGAATCCCTCTGAAGAAGTCTGGTGAGGAGATGTGGTGATCTCCAAAATAGCTCTCACCTCTACCATTTTTATAAATAATTGTTGTTTTTCCACAAAAGTTTTTATTAAAAGCGCTCGACTGGCAAATGAGCGAGTGCATTACTCCTTGGAAGAAAAATGTTTTACATCCTCCTCTTGTAGAGCTGACAAGTATTATTTTGCCACCACTATGTATAGAACTTGGATTCATTAGAAAAATTGGTCAAAGCCATGGATGGAAACGTTTCAGGTTTTCTATAATCGAAAGAAAAATTTCTTACAGTTAGTGACGCTAAACCAAGGGAAAGAATTTTCGTTGGACCAACAAATTAGGGGATTATTCAGATATAACTTATTCGAAGAAAAGCTGAGTTCGTTAGAGAAATCTGCTGAAAAGAATTCACAGAACCCGATTTTTAAAAGCATCGATACAGAGTACTCTAGAATACTCAGTAATCACAAAAGAACTCGAAAGTACTCAGTACTCACAAAAGAACTCGAAAGTACTTAGTTAGTACTCATACTCTATTCCAATCATCACTTGGGTACATGTACTCAGGATCGACTCAAATCGCTTAGTATTAACTGCCGCATAGACATTTAAAAGTAAGGAGTTCTATTTACATTTAACGGTATTCGAAAATGATTTTACTCAATTTGAAGTTTCAATAATTTTCAAATTCATTTGACGCAATTTGGGATTAATATATTAATTTGAATAAAGTGCTACCAGCTTGTGAGATTTCCACACTAATCATTGAAATATTACCAACATGTGCATATTTAAAGAAAGTACTCAGTAGTCTAAAAAAATACCCGATCTTTAAAATTATCGATACCAAATAACTCGATCCTCAAAAGTACTCGATACTTCCCAAAACTAAAAAGCCTATTTTCAAGTTGTAGTTCAAGTAAAGCCTCAGCATTTTTATCAAGTATAGAAGTAAAGTCACACAAAAAATATGGGTGCCAAAAAAGAATTTAAAAACAAACCCAAGAACGTGCATGTGACAAATTAAAAGTTAATTTTTGTCGATCCGCGTAATTAGTTTACCGTAGGTATTTATCCTTTTGAGCTAAGATATGAAAGCCGTCGTATTTTATATATTATAGTTTGAAATTTAAAGAAGTTATTTTTTTTTGGAATTATTTGCCTTTAAACACAAATTCTTTTAATATTCATTACTTTATTGAAACACGTCTATAATCTCCTAACTAATTAAAATGTATCCTTTTTCTCTCTTTTCATCTGTTTCTCTTTCATATCTCTCTCATCTACACTAATGCGCGGCTATACTGTCTATCTCTCTGCATTTGTGTGCATTCTGCTTTTTAATTCGCAGGGACCACTAATTCCTGCGGCGTTTACAAATGGATACCATTAAAAAGTGGCGATGCGTTGCAATAAATTGTACACTCCAAAAAAAATCACAGCAAAGGACAACAGCAACAACAAATTATACAAAAATCTACAACTAACAATTAAAGCAAATAATTGTTTTTCGCAAAACAAGTACGAATAGTGAATTAACACATACAGGAAAATTTGAAAATTTAACCAAAAACTCAACGCAAAAATTAAGTAATCAAACACACCAACAAGAAAAAAACAAAAACAAAAACAAAAACAAAACATACACACGTGCGTTTTAATATTAAAAATTAATAAAATAAATAAATCAATATGTGTAATGTAAACAAACATGCAAACACATACATACGTACGTAGATATGCAAATATGTACATATAAAAATATACACACAAACACACATACATACATATTAACTTATATAAACAAATTAGTTAGCGCATGTGTGAAAATGTGCAAGCGAGCGAACTTCGACTTAAAAAAAGAAATCCGTTTTTTTTTTTTGATTAAGTTAAACCAAAACTACAGAATCTATATGATAACAACAACAGCAATAGCAGCACAAAATCGTAATAGCAAATATCAGTTTGTTTCCAGGAAAAAAAAACTACAAAAAAGCAGAATTAATTTATGTAAAACATCACTTACCTACTCACAAAGCCATGCATGTACGTGGCGGCCAAAGAACAATTAATGGCAGCATTCAATGCGCAATGCATTCAGCGGCATGTGGGATGAAGCGGCAAAACAGCAAAACAGCATTAGCTACATACATACATACATATGTATAAGAGGAACAACGGAATGGCTACAATTCAAATTACTGCAGCACCAAGGAGGCTGTTGGCCTCCATACTTTTCCATATGTTTGTACTTGCAAATTATTGTCGGGCGTGTCGTATACGCAACCTGCGAAACGACATACATGCATACATATTTATGTGCATACGCAGCATATTATCATTTGAAATTATTTATTGTTAAGCAATTACTGATAATATTTATTAATGAGAGTGTAAATTGAATAACTATTTGTTTGCCGAAGCCTTGATTGATTGATTGATTGATTGATGAATTAAATGCAATAGCGAAATATTGTGAATGTTGTAGCGAAATTAAAAACAGCAAAAAAGCACAGAAGGCACTTCAAATAGGGGCACTTCTATTCTGTGAAAATTTAGCTTTGTTGTCTCGATTTAAATTTGAAAATTGTTTAGGTAAAATTTGTACGTTATCGCTAATCACGAAGCTTTCTCATTTGTATTTGTTAACCAAAATGCGAGCCTCTAATCAAATAAATTTTATCATTCACAATCATACACATAACTTTTTATGCAAATACATACATATCTTTGTTGTTTTTTTCAATGAGCAGCGATCTGCTTATTTGTTAATCGTTTTGTTGAGGTAGAGTGTATTTAGAGAATCGGACATAAATATAAAGTAGATGAGCTGATATGTTAGCAAGCAGCAAAAAAAGTGCGCATCAAATTAGTTTAAAAGCTAGCCTCCAAATAAATACACAGTACAGCTACGTGCATAAAATGAATATTTCAAGCCTAAAGATACAGAAAACAGGGAAGAATTTGCATAATTTTTAAGTGCGATGAAAACTATATTCAGTTTATTGCAAACATTGTTAAGTAAATGAAAATTTTCATGATTTATTTTAGTACAAATTTTGGTCAGTCATTGCCAAAATTCGTTTAATTTCGTTATTCCATTTTCACTGCAATTTCCCGTTAAAAAGCAGAGTTCAAAATGGGTGCAATAATCGTGCAGAAAAATTATTTTTTATGTAAAAAGGCGGTTAAGTACCCACTTAGAAATGTTAGTTGTATCTATTCGCCTTTTTCAGCAAGATTTACACAAGTTATACGTACATTAGGATGGGTCAATTTTTTTGACCACTAAATTGTATGGTATTTTCTGATTCTGCAGATAATTCTTAGATAAATTATAGAATAAACCGTGGGTTGGTAATGCGTTTCAGGCATGCGCGTTTTTTTAAGAAAAAATTGCCTTCTCATGGTATTAAACTTTTTTCACTTTTTCTTTTTTTATGAATGTTTTGTTGAATGTTTTTTTTAATATTGTACAAGATTTTAACAAGATTTTAAACATGGATTTATGCAATTTTTGTTAAAGAGGAAACTATATATTTCGGAAAAAATACGAAAATAATACGAAATTAAATAAGTATGGTTAAACAATTAAAAATATTATAAACTAAAAGGCATTTTGCGGCCATCAGCTTTAACTTTGTAAAGCTGGCATAGAACAAAAAAATTCAATTTTGAGAAAAAATAAATTTTTGGTTTAAAAATGCGCAGGCTAGAACTTCATTTCCGACTTACAGCATATTCTACATGCTCTCTTAGAATCATCTATAGAAACCGAAAATATCATGCGATTTGTCGAGCTATTTTATTCACCCCAAAGCAAATATCATCGATGTTTTTTCAAAACCGCCTAAGTCGTCGTTCTGGCATACATGACATTTGGTAACCCTGAACTTCAGGCATCGAGATTTATGCATAAAAATCGTTAAATCGTTATTAAAACAACAAATTTGCAAAATTATAGCAAGAGAAAATACCGACTATAAAGGCATTGCCTTCAAAGAATAAACCATTTTTTCGCTCTCCTGTAAAATTTAACTGCCGTAAGATAAGCGGTTTTGCAAAAACAGCGACGATATGTATATCTTCCTCAGAATCGCCTTTGTTTTTTATGAAGAAGTGGCATAAAATTAAATACAAAACTATTTTTTTTTGTCGAGTTATTCTCTGTTTTATTTTCTAAGTGAGTCCCTGACATCAAAAAAATGTAAATATTTGTCCTCATCATCAGTAAATTGTTATCCTCGAAACTTTTATTTAATTTTTTTAAATTCAGTGGCTGCAGCAAATCATGACATAAGCTTTATTTCCACCGAATCTATGTAAAAATATGGCGATTCGGATATATATTTGAATGGTGCATACAGAAATCGAATTTTTCTTGGTTACTCTACACGGAGCTAAGGGTTATTTGGCCCATTTTTTTGGCCAAAATTAATTATGGCCACACGAGTATATTATTAAAAAAAGGAACTTCCCAAAGTTTTGCAAAAAAAAATAATAATTTAACCCTTGACGACCAATGGGTCCAAAGGGGGTCACTTGTTAATTTATGCTTTTGTTGACAATATTTCAAGGCACCCTTTACCAAATATTTATATTAAAGTAGGAAATGGCAATTAGTTGCAATAACAATTTATACAGTGGCTAATGTTAGAGAACATTGCCAAAATATATTAAGTTCAATTAAAAACCTGAAAGCCCAGAATTTCCTAATTTGTTCGCATTGTTTCGAATTAATAAGACCTGCATTTGCAGCCATTGGTTTCCTCTCTTTATAGAGTTCTCTTCTCTAAATGTTAAATAATTCACTACTGCCAGTATAAAGAAGACCTAAAAAAGTAATTTTCTCTTTCTCTTTAATTTTAAGTGTAAAATTGCAACGTAGCAGTCTAGCAGCATTGTTTTGTTGGAAAAGCAGAAAATCGCGTGCTATATTGCAACGCAGCAGCTTAACACCTAAAATGCCACAAATCATGAACTCCCCTATTATTTTAAATTTAGTATATTGCCCATATGCAAATGCTTAACGTTTTAATTCAATGCTTTTTTTCATACATTTCTTCGTACTTTTTGTTGACTCCCAAAAAAGATTTAGTAGTTAGTAAAAATATATATATTTAAAATGCTACATACATTTAATTGACAGAAGTATAAAATTTTGTTTCGAAAAAAAAATTTCTCATTCAAACTAAAAAATCATAAACATTGACCGTAGAAACATTAAGCGGATTTTTTTCTGTTCATATTTTTATTTTTTTAAGTGTGCTTAGAGCCAGCTGACAAATTAGCGACTTTTTTCACACTAGAGACGTGAGACAATTTACTGAATACCAAAAAGTCCCAAATTCGATATTCACCACACGAAAAGTCTCTATTAGTGACCAAAGACTGCTTCTTGTTTTTTTTTTTTTTGTCCAAATGAGGCACGAAAATAATGCTTACTGAATACCGGCTTAAGTTGTCCTACCAGTGATTTAAACGTTGAGAGCGAATCGCGGAACGCAATTTCACTGCATAATATGCAAGCTAAGCTTAGCTTAAGTGACACCGGCATACGACTAAAATCAAATGTTATGCGCGCAGCTGCAAATTTTTTACTGCCGTTAGCTAATTTTTGAAAGCTTAACATTGGAAATCAAGCAGGTATATATTGACCGACAGCCACGGCTTAATAAGCCAATAAGAGGGCAGCTTTTTAACGTATATGTACATACAAATTTATATGGTGAAAGCACCTCTCAATAAAGTGCATTGATAAATTTCAATTTTACAAATATGTTGCCAAACTATGGTTTTTTATTTACCCAATGAAAATGTAATCAGTGAGTCCTATGAAATATGCCAAACTTAATTCACTCACTTATATGTATTTAGGAGTGAAAAATACAAACTATTATTTACACGCGCACACACACACACATACATACATTAACGCATGAAAGTTACCAAATAACAGGTTATTAAGATAACAATAAATGAAATACTTTAAAGCAACAATAACTACCATAATTGAAAAATTCATAAAAAAAACGCAAAATGCAACCAACAAACCGCCATTTTCCTGCGTAAATGTCATAGGCCAAACCAGAAGACAGCAACAAAATGCAATTAAATCCTAAAGCTGGCAGCGCTGCTGCAACGTCAGCAACAAATTGACCACAGTGGAACACTTGCTTATTACTACCTACAACCAAATATATACATATACATACATATAACTAAATATTGAAAGAACAACCTAGTGGTAATAATTTAAAACACCAATTTTAATAGTACGGCACTTCATACATACATACTAACAATAAAAAGTGAATATACATACATATATAAAATAAAAACATTGATTAATAAACTTATACATGATTACATACATGCATATGTATAGGAGGATTATTTAATTACAAACAAAAAAAAATCAAACAAACAAAAACAGAATAATGAGAATTAACTAAAGCAAATATACAATGCAGAAAAAAGTATTTAAAATTACGTACATTGGAGTTTATATGTATAGCAAACAAATAACAGCAATATGCAATATTAGGTTAAGGCGGGGGAGTTAGCGGGTCTTGATACACATACATACATAGCAGGCAGTAAGAGTAAAAG